CGACGGCTCGCGATGGGGACTCCTTTATGCTACTGCATCCGGTACCATTGCATGGGCAGGTCGTTTAATGCTTGATGGTGAACCTCTTAGTTTGATTGGTCCAAAAAATGGGAATCTGACTGATGATGATGGCGTGGGTCTATGACCAGGTGATGATGGTGGAGTGGTATGGTTAAATAAAAAATAAAACTAATGTATGGTTTAATGAATTTCAAAATATGGTTGAAAAACAATTTAAAGGTACGTGTCGAAACCTATGACTCTAATACCATGTTTCAATTCAGAGAAAAATATAAGCATTGAAATTATATTCTATATCTTATGGTGTTACATCCAATTTATAGAATAGAACCTAACTAAAATAAATAATTAATTACCTACTAATTAGCCTAAAATCAAAGAGTAAATAATTCAATCCTACAACTCTAGTATAAGGAATAAAATCTCAACATACAATACCAAAAGAAAAAATAAAAGAAGAGGTTGGAAGTGATCCAAAACGTTAATTCGGGGGAGAGGGGAATGAAGATATATTTTCTTAACTGAAAGGGTAATTGTAGTACTTGACAAAAAATAATTATTTATTTATAAAATTAAAAATAAAAATGTCATTTTCTTTAAATGTATAGTATAACGGTAAAAAAATAGAGCCCCAATATTGTCTTTTTTATTTTTTAAATGTTGGCACCCTAAGAAACGGTCCATAATTCCCTAGTTAGTGGAGTAAAACTCCGCTACTTATTTGTATCTCATTGTCATGATTTGATTAGTGGACTTTATGTGACATCGCAGTTACGTTAAAGTAACTAAAAATTGTCATAATAATACCATTTTGACAGCATAAAATGCTGTGGCGATGGAGATGTGATGATACAGTATATATATATATATTGTAGCTATATTTGACGAAACTAATCTACTTTGTAAAGAAGCTGATTGAAAAAGATACCATTCCTTACATTGCTTGTAGATTTGTGAGTGGCAAAAATAATTTAGTTTTGGTTTTGGTGGGGAAACTCCAATCAGATGTATCCCCCTTTGCGTCTAATTGGAGGACTAGGTGTGACCCCGACCTATAATTAGCTCCAGAGGGCAGTTTTGGCGTGCAATGACACGGATTAATTGCGTGTGTACAACAGTGTGACAGTGTACTATTTGGAATGTCTCTCTTTTTTTCAGTCTTGACTTGTCAAAATTGATGTAAACACCTTTTTTTTTTTTTTTTTTTTTTTTCTCCAGTTTTTATTGCTGAATTATGACTCAAATTGACTAAGAGGAAGCTATGACAACGTTTTTTTTTAAAAAAAAAAAAAAACCATAAACAACTTTAAATTTACCAAATTAAAGAAAAATTACAAAATAATTTAAATATTATTAATTAAATGATTTTAATTCTGCTCTTGCAGTACTTTATAATAGAAAAATCCTAATGTTTTAAGAAAAACTAGGCACAAAAGGAAACGAATACTAAAAATACGATTAAGATTAAATTCTCTTTAAAAATATGAAAAAATAGAATAAGACAGAAAAATCAGCTTTTGAAGTCAAAAATAAATGTTTTGCGCCCAAAAACGACATATCCCGCTAATTAAGGATAATGTTTTTCTAAATACGTGGTTGCCACCAAAAAAAAAAAAAAAAGAAAACCTTCTTTTTGAATCGAAAAAGAACTTGTCGAATTATTACGAATTCTATCATGCATCACAAATCCTAAAAGATATTGGTCCTATTTCGATTGTCATGGATCTCCCCTCAGTTTTCATAGATCATACTGATATTTGTCAATAGTTTTGTATCACTGATCTCCCCTGCTAGCATTGACACACACACATATTAATGCTGTCATGTGATTTTTGTCCTTAGGATGTCTAAAAAGGCCTTATTTTCTTCAATTAAATAACAATATAAAGTACATGAGTATAATAGTTCTTCTATTATCTTTATTAATGGACAACACTATGAGTAATCGGTATTAAATTTGAAAACATAAGGAAGGTTCCCGTTATTTTGACAATTTACAGGGAAGGTTTGCATAATTTACCTAATTTTAAAAATAAATAAATAAATAAATAAATAAAATGTAATCCATGGAGCATGATAGAGGAAATCTCTAACTACACTATCTTTGGCTTGCTACACTCATTATTGTGAAGTGTCCAATTTTCACTGCCGGTTTTCAACTTGCTTTCAATTTCATGGAGTTTAATAAAACAAAGCAAACAAACAAAGAAAAAAAACCAAAAATAAGTGTAGTAAATAATCAATAGGACCATCCCAATCAAAGTTTTCCATTTATTCAAGCAGAGGGAGACAGCCAAACCCATTCAACCACATATTATTAGTACTGAGATACCAAGACGAATGGCACATTGATAGGTAAGTGCAATGGTCCCCCCATTTTTCCATTATTTGTTTATCTTGGTATATGCCTTTAAAATATACTCTGACATGTTAATGCAAGATGAATTATGGTGGAGAACAATAATTGAAAAGAGATAAGCTAACAATTATTTGTCACTCTTAATATTATTGGTTTTAACTCTTTCAAGTAAAATCTTAATATTATTGGTTTCAACTCTTTCAAGTAAAATCTTGAAGGGGGTGGACGTTTTCCATTTATTCAAAATCTTAAATTATTAAGTAGTGTTTCATATCTACTTATTTATACTCATTTTTCATCTACATCCGATGTGGGGCAAGTCTTCTTTGTAACATTCTCTTTCACCCGAATTCGTAACGCCCTTGTTGCGGTCGGGCCACCCTGCGGTGGCACACCTGAACGCCTTTCGGATTGAACGTTTGGCGTGGTACCAGATTAAGAATTAGGTCTGACTCTAATACCAACTGAAACGGGTGGACGATGATTATCCATTTACCAAAAACTTAACCTATTAAGTAATGCTGCATATCCACCCATTTATACTCATTCCACTTTCCAAATCCAATGTGGGATATAAGTCCCTCCCTGTAATAGTTGGCCAGATACAAACCCTTATTATACCACAACCTTTAGTTATGTGACCATTGGGGGGCTGTTTGTCTTGAATTATTTTAAAGTTAACAACAAATTTATGTATGGTTACTTATCTTGACAACATAATTTCAGTAGTCCTTTCCTTTGCCCACCTCAACTTCAGTTTGATTTTAAATAGGTGTTGCTTCAAGTGGTAAAAGACCATGTCTTAAGTGACTTCACCCTATGATCTTAAGTTCGAATCTCTTTCTTTCCTAACTCCACTAACTAATGACTCTCCTTTCCAATTCCCAAGTCAAAAAAATAAAAAATAAAAAGCACTACATTCTATTTATTCTACTTTTTCCCTTCCCATTTACCTAGTAATTGCTATTTATTTCTTATAAATAAAATGGAATATATATAATCCATCAAGCGATGGGTGTAATTTTGTATTCATTATGATGGTCATTGATAAATGACCCTATTAGGACTTGAATTATCAACTTTCAAGTTTGGACTTTAAAATGTGAGAAAATATTAGTGAGTTACAGGTCTTGGTATGGGTAATTAGTAAATGACCTATTAACTCAATGACTAAAGTAGCTAACAACTTGTAGCTTATTGATATATCTTCTACTTCTCAAAATTATAGATGAAAGTTCAAGTTTTAGCAAATGAGTTTGTAAGTTTTTTTCCTACGGAAAAAAAAATAAAAAAATCTTAGTTGACTAGAGTATAATTTTATAAGGTGAGCTATTGGATCAAATGGATACTTAAAATTATATTTTATTTTTTTAGTCAACAATGGTAGTGTCGGACTTTTTAAAGGAGAAAGTTTACACCATCCCGAGGGTAACATACCCCCGGAGCCTTTCAGTAATTGGATCATCCGTTAGGTGAGTCCCGCCACCACATCCAATGACTGAAAATCTCAAAAGTACGGTATCTCGAACATACAATAATTCAACATCGGACACATTCACCGGTTGGCACCATCCATGTATCAGATTTTACTTGTATCTGAAATTGAGGATGGGCTTCCCAGTTGTATGCAACTTCCAAAAATGGATCAATATAAGCAACATTCTCACGAAACCCAATATATACAATAAATGGGCCTTCAGAAAAAGCCCACATCCCCCAACGTCGGCCCAGTCTAAGATCTGAACCCCAACATGATGTGTTGTATGGGACGTCATATAGATATCCCTTTTGATGCCCGAATCCTCAACCTGAAACCCTAAATCCAAGTGGGCTTAGCCCAGTTGACCGAAAACCGGTGGACCATTATTCAATCTCAGCCGTTCATTTTTAAAAGCCACATCCAGACCTTCCGATACAGCTGGTCTCCTCTTTATAATGCAAGCTTCAGTCGCACATCGTTCATCTCTTCTTTTCTATCCCGTTCGTCTTTGGAATTAGTGTTAGGGTTAGGGCTTCGTTGAGGCATTCCTTTCTTTAATTGCTTCTGGCAGATTAGAATTAGATTGGTTTGTATTTCAACCTATCCTTTTGAGTTTCTCTTTTACAGATCTCGCAGTTCTTTGTAGTTTTCTGGTTAAATGTAAATTTATATATATGTGTGTGTGTGTGTGTGTATATTTCAAATTTTAGATCCAACAAACAACTTAATTGATCTGTGTATTTATTTTATTGTTATGGTTTGGTTCCTGATCGACTCGTTCCCTTGAAGCAAAAGCGATTGTGTTGCGCATTTTTATAACTCTCCATCACACCCTCTTTTTGTGTTTGGAAAACACTTGGGCAACTATATTTCTCTATTTATACACAAACATATATATTTATATTTGTACATGCATCTATATATGCTTTTATTTATTTATTTATTTGGGAGTGTTGGAAAACAGTGATGAGCCAATACAGACCTGTAATGATGTGCGAACATGATCGCAATTCTTTATGAACATCTAAGGGACTGAGTTTTCTTTTTTATGGTACTCCCTCTTACGAGTGTAAATTTTTTTTTTTATTTATTTTTTATTTCTAATCATTAATTGTATAATATTCTTATGAATTTTGATCAACAGCTTCGCTGTACTAAATTATATTTTACATTTGGCTTACAATATTTTTCATTGTATGTCAAGATTTTAAGTGAAGCTATAAAAAATGTTCCTCTCGCTATCCAGTGATAACCTTTATGGTGCATTTGGACGTTGGGGAACTACATTTACATCTTCAATTATTTGACTGTATTGAAAATTATATGATTTTTGAATTAAAATGTGACATATTCGAAAAATTATGGCAAAGCTTAGGTTGTCATTCGGTTTGTATTTTTTGACAATAGTTTTCAAACAGTATATAATTTTAAATCAGGAATTTATTTTGTTGTTAATGATCTTTTTTCTACGGTCCCATTGTTCAGTTATCAACATTCGACTTAGGTCGTTAACCGGGAGAGTAATGGTGTGCTGGCGTTTAATTATTATTATTATTATTATTTGTTGGTGGTATTTCGCATTTAAGTTCTAAAAAACTTTGGAACAAAAAAGGGTTTAGAGAAATAGATTTGCAGCTAGGAAAGTTTGAGAGAAAAAGGAAAGGAAAGTGGGTAAACTTGGTCTCTTTCACTGAATAGGCCTCGGCAAGCCCTAAAAACAGCCGATTGAGGTAAAGATAGTGAATCTATCAACAAGGGCGGCGAAAGTGGCTTAAAGGTCACGAAAAGGGAAATTAAATTTATCAGATATTAAAATTCAGTTTGGATGAAAGACAATTAATTGAAAGAAAACAAAGAGTTTTGGGGGGAGAGGGAGAGAAATGTGATCTAAAATTTAATAGACAAGAATGAAATGTGAGAAATACCATCTGACCTATTTACATAATAATTACAAATTCTATATCGACAGTTTTTGGTGTGAGGAGTAATGCTGTGCACAAATAGACAAGAATGAAACTGAGAAATACTTTTGTGTATATATATATACACGTGTACATGCTCCTCATTATTTCATCAACCCTAAATATAAAAGACAAGAAAGACCTATTTACATAATAATTACAAATTCTATATACAATTACCATCTGACTCTTTTTTATTTTCCGATTCAGTTCCAACATAAAACATAAATATATCTACATATAAATGTGCTGGAGAATGTATATAATATACATTATAATTGGTTATATATATATATATATATATATATATATATATATATATATTATTCAAGTTTAACTTCCAAAAAAAATTTAATGAAGGCTCTCGGAATTTTTTTTTTTATCATAAAAAAAATAGCATTGAAATGTACTTTAAGTACTCAAAAGTTTTAAATAATATGAGATCATATAAAAATAGAAAATTATGTACAATTGAGGACTGAACCATCTTACATCATATCTCAGAAATTCCAAATTAAAAATTAATTTATCATTTTTTTTTGTTGAATAATTTATCATATGATAGATAAACATATACGGAAAAAAAAAAATGGTAATAATAGCATGACGTGCAAAAGTACTTTTATAAAGGTCCATTTGGTTAGATAGAAATTTTTTTTGAAAAGTAAAAGTAAATGAAAGGAAAATATTATGTATTTGGTTAGTAAGAAAAAATTTTAACAAAATTGTGAGAAAATATTATTTTGTAAGTTTAGAAAGAATGAAAGTGAAACAAAAGTGATTGTAATTCCCAAAACTACACTTTTAATTATAAGATTACTTTGTACTTTTTGAGATACTATCATATCTCCAGAATTATGAACAAAATTAAAATTTTAAGTTCAAAGATAAATTAATGGACATTATAGTATTTGTCTTCATGTTTAATAATTAGATATGTGTGATTATAGGTACAAGTTTAATTAATAAAAATTTTTGATCTGAAAATTCTTGAGGGTAAAAGGTTGAAGTTAATATATATATATTTTTAGTCATAGAAAAACAAAAACAAAAAAAAACTTTAGTCTAATAGAAATATAATACAATATACGTAGAGTTAAAACTAAATTAATTTGGTATATCTAATATAGAGTTAAAATTAAATAAGTTTGGTACATTTCAATAATTGAGTCCTAAAGTCCTGAGAAGTCTATGTATAAATATATATATATGTATATATGAATTAAATTATAATAAAAAAACTTGCATATGTAAAAACATTAACCTAGTTTTTTACTTAATACTCTTGCATATGTAAAAACATTAACCTAGTTTTTTACTTAATACTTTGTTACTAAATACTCATATATATATATATATATATCATTCTCAATCATTATTAATTGTGGAAGGAAAAAAATAAAAAAAAATAAAAAAATTTTAATTTTGATATAAAACTATATACAATTAAATTAGTATTTACATGATTTTATAAACAATTTACAAAAGAATGAAACTTAGGCACCACTTTCACGGGAAAGTAAAATTTCCGTGTGTTTTATGTCAGAAAATTTTTGAGGAAAATTAAGCAATTGTAAGAAAATTAATTTCCTAAAAATTTTCTCTTTCACGCTAACCAAACTCCTAAAAAAGTTAAATGTTTTCCTTTTCTTTTCCTTTCTATCTACTTCATGCTAACCTAACAAACCCTAAATCACAGAGGCGGAAAAAGAACTTTCAAGTTACGTGAGCTAGTTTCAGATTGTTGTTAGAATGTTAAAAGCGCTTTTTTATTTAGAGGTGTTATAAAAGTGTTGTTAAGCGTTTGATGATACATTGTATAAAACATTTTTTTATACTTGAATCACTTTTAAATTTGTTTGATAATAATATTGCTTAAAACACTTCTATTACTAATTTTACTATATTACCTTTACACTAAACATATACTAATTCCCTAATATTAAATATTATAAAATTTCATTGAATTCAATAATTTATAAAGATCAACTTATTGAGTTGAAAACAGGCCAAGCCATGCGCAAAAAAAAAAAAAAAGAAAAAAAAAAAAAAACCAATAATTTATGGTGGGTTATAAATGGGTTGGGTGTGAGCTGAGCCAAACTCACACCCAACCCAATTACCCAAATATTTTCAGAAATAAATTGTCAAATATTTTTAAGTCTTGAATTCCAAAAAATAAAAAAATTGTTCTTGTAACAATTTTATATTAATTTTCTGGTCTCTGTTACAAATTTTATCTTGTTTCATAAAGTCAGATACAACTTAGTATTACTCTGCTAGTATCATTAATAATATATATATATATATATATATATATATATATATATATATTATCAATTTTTCAACTGGTGCAAAAATGGTTTTAATTTTAAATTTTTTTACCTAATAAAATAAAAATTGAGGTTTGTAGTGCAAAAAAAGGAAGAAAAATATTTTGCAATAATTATATATTTTAGAAAGGGACAAAATTTAATAATAATAATAAAATTGTGCCAAAATAAAAAAAAAAAAATTCTCTTAAAGTTAAAGCAATGCCAAATTTGTGAGAGAGATCAATTTAACAATAACTATGTCAACCAATAAATTACTTTAAAAAAAAAAAAAAAAAGAGAGATGAAATTACATAGTAAACAAAAGAGAGAAAAAACTAACTAAAAATAATAATTAGAAAGTGTGCAATGGGGTCTCTTGAGCGAAGCCCTATCCTACCTAGCCTGACTTCTGAGCCATGTTCAAGAGTTTCAAACCTATAGCACGCAAAGCAGATGAAATGACGAAAGAGTGGTCAAGCGGTCCTTCTTCTGTGCCAGAGGTGAATTCAATCCGGAATCGGGGTGAAAAGAGCTGGATTTACGCCATAGAATCAAAATCTTTTTTTTCATAGGCTGTGTCAGAGTTTTCATCCTTTTGATATCCGTGAGGGAAGCAGAGCTAAAGGAACCCAGCCAATTGAGGGACTCCCTACCAATAGGAAAAAGGCGGATTGGTGGAGTAGAATGGGCAGGAGGGAAGACATTGGAATAGCCATGGAGGACGAATTACTGGTTCGCGAAAGGTTGACTTACATCTTCCATCTTATTATACGCAAACATTCACCTAGTTAGCCTTTGGCTTTTAGAGAGAAGGGGGCCATACTTCATCTATGGATTGACTTTCTTGGGGGGCGGATAAGCTAAGGAAGGTCAAGAACATAGGAGTCTCCATAAACTCCACCTGTGTTACCCCTAGTTTAGGAGAGAAATAGCTATATTCCATTTCGCACATCAGATCCTGACTTCTGAAAGCTTAGTTGGGCGCGGCTAAACCCATGCATAGTTTTTATTTATAACAGCATCGCCATCCTCGGCTCGACGGAATAACGGTACGGGGTTGGTTAGAAGGACGACCCCTGCCTTAGGGTTCTCAGACTGTTCAGAGGCTCTAACCACTCTGCGTAAAGGGCTACTGTCCATTACGCATCGATCCAGAGTCTCAATGAGCTAACCAATTCTTTTTGAAAAGAAGAAAAAAACTCAATCCCCAGCCTAGAAAACTCAGACTAACAATGGCACCAACGACATCCCCGATATGTGTTGTTCTCGCGGCAGCAACAGAAGACCAACATGCTGAAGACACCGCTATCGCGTAAGACAAGGAATAAGAGGCGATAGCCTTGCTGAGAAGATGGAATTGACCTATGACATTGAAACCTAGGGAGGGGCCTATAGTTTTTGTGTACGGACTATAAGTGAAGGTAGCAGAGCATCCCAATATCCCGGATTTGTTGCTCCAATTTCAACACAAATGCTTCCCTATTTAGAGCTTCCGATGTATATCTGTAGACTTTTCTTCAAGAAATCAGAAAGCTGTTATGAAGTGTATGAGGAACGGGTAAGCACCCTCTCACATGTTGAAGCGGAAGCTAGAGATCGATTTAATGAACAGGTTGCAATAGAGGAAAACCGATTCTTTCATCAGATAAGGGTAAGGGTGAATCCCCATAATCTGTCTTTCCTGTGGTTTGTCCCCTTGTCACCACAGTCATTCCATCCATGTTTGATTTCGGGTTCTCATAGGCCTTGGATCTGGAATGAATAGCTTGATCTTTTACGCGAAATAAGAGAAAAGATGGGTTAAGCTTTTCTTTCTGTAGTGACTGTGTGAACTGTTCCCTTCCTCTATGCCGGTAAGTTAGGTGCGAACGAGTCAAATAGAGAAGTGCTTATGCGATGAAACCACTTCTACAGATGGGATTTCAACAGATGGAATAGTGATGAACCTGCACGCTGTTCTAGCTTCTAACTGGTCAGGATTTCTAATGGGAAACTGGCTCTTTCGAGCGGAAT